AACACAGTTGGTTCTCACGTTTGTGTCCATTTTGGCCTTGGACACCTCCTGGTTCATGAGTGATTTTTAGAGAATTCATCTTTACCTAATTCTCTTAGAAGCGGCCTCTTCTCACTCACATAGGTGATTTCCATAAAGAGTATTCTGCTATACTCCACTTGAACAAATCAAGATATAGAAATCATTAAAAGCGTATCTTAACCTATTTCGCGGCAGCTAGGCACTGGCTCATCATAGGAATGGGTAGAAGTAAAATCTTCCCAGTGCATACTAAGTTTTCCACAGTTCGGTTGTCCCATTAAACCTAGATCTTGGGATCTCCAGTCAACTAGGTTGGGTTGTCACTATGGAAACTTTTGATTATTTTATTAGTTTTAATCTCATCCCCTTCGATGAACTTTCGACTTGATCTCTTGTTAAACTTTTAGTTAGCGGATCCGCAATATTCTCTTTTGATTTCACATACTCTATAGAGATAATGCCCGTAGAGAGCAATTGTCTAACAGTATTGTGTCTACGACGTATATGTCGAGATTTACCGTTGTACATTGCATTTTGTGCCCTACCAATTGCTGATTGACTATCGCAATGGATACATATAGCAGGCACAGGTTTTATCCAATATGGAATATCTTCTAGAAAGTTTCGTAGCCATTCGGCTTCTTCTCCGGCTTTGTCTAATGCAATGAATTCAGATTCCATTGTTGATCTAGCTATACATGTCTGTTTTGAAGATTTCCATGATATTGCAGCACCTCCAAGTGTAAAGACATATCCACTTGTTGATTTGGAGTCTTTAGTATCTGATATCCAATTTGCATCACAGTATCCTTCAAGTACTGCTGGATATCTCGAATAGTGCAATCCAAAATTTTGGGTATATTTTAAATACCCTAAAACTCTAACAATAGTCTTCCAATGATCAGTGCTTGGATTACTTGTATATCGACTTAGCCTACTAATTGAATAGGCAATATCAGGTCGAGTGCAATTCATGACATACATTAAACTGCCAATGATATGAGAGTATTCCAATTGAGACTTACTATCACCAGTATTGGAAACAAGATGCATACTAACATCCATAGGTGTTTTCATAGGAATAATTTTATATTTCTTGAATTTATCAAGAATCTTCTCAATGTAGTGTGATTGAGACAATATGAGACCATCAGATGTTCTAGAAATTTTAATTCCTAATATAACATCGGCCGCACCTAAATCCTTCATTTCAAATTTACTTGTTAGCATCTTCTTTGTAGTTTGAATTATGGTATCATTGTTATCCATAATCAACATGTCATCTACATATAAACATACCATAACATATCAATTTGGAGTGTTCCTGACATAAACACATTTGTCACACTCGTTAATTTTGAAACCATTTGACATCATAACCATGTCAAATTTTTCATGCCATTTTTTAGGAGTTTGCTTTAATCCATATAATGATTTAACAAGTCGACATACTTTCTTTTCTTGTCTTGAGGTCACAAATCCTTCAGGTTGCTCCATATAAATTTCTTCATCCAATTCGCCATTCAAAAATGCCGTTTTAACATCCATTTGATGTATATCCAAACCATTCAATGCTACTATTGCAATAAGCATACGTATGGATTTGATTCTTGTCATAGGAGAATAGGTATCGAAATAATCAAGACCTTCTTTTTGCTTGTAGCCTTTAGCGACAAGTCTTGCTTTATATTTGTCAATTGATCCATCTGCTTTCATTTTCCTTTCGAAAATCCATTTACATCCCAAAGGCTTATTTCCGGGAGGGAGATCTACTAATTCCCAAGTATGATTTTGTAGTATGGATTCAATTTCACTATGAACAGCTTCTTTCTACAATGTTGGTTTTTGATTCAATCGAATTAGATGCACCATTCCTTTTTTCAGTTTTGCGATTGTCTTCTTCTATTCTTAATCGGACAATGATATCTTCAAATTTCATTTCCTTCCGTTTGTACTTTAGGTAATTCTTGAAATCCTTCCATGAAGGTGGTAATTTCTCAATTAGTGCAGCGACTTGGAATGATTCACTTAGTTTCATTCCTTCGGCATGGATGTCGCTAAGTATGATCTGAAGTTCTTGAATCTGGGATATGACAGTCTTGCTGTCAACCATTTTATAATCCAAAAAATGACCGACAATGAATTTCTTCGTGCCCGCATCTTCGGTTTTGTACTTTGTGTCCAAGGATTTCCACAGTTCTTTTGCGGACTTAGCATTGCAGTACACATTATATAATGTGTTATCCAGTCCATTAAGTACATAATTTCTCCATAGGAAATCAGAATGCTTCCATGCATCAACCGCAGCCAATTTTTCAGCATCACTGCCTTGCTCGGTATATGAAGGCGCGTTTTCTTTGAGAAATTTAGCCAGATTTAATGTCGTCAGATAAAAAAGCATTTTTTGTTGCCAACGCTTGAAATCTGACCCATTAAACTTTTCTGATTGTTCCCCGATCGTATTCGGGAGTGTGGTACCAGAAGTTGTCATTTCTGAAACACAATCAAAAAATCAACGGTAAGAATGAGTAGAAACAGAAACAAAATAATTATAGAACAAATTTGTTTTAAGATTGTTGTTTTTGGAGTTTGAAGTTACTCCTTCGAAAACAATCCGACAGAATCACCTAAATGCAAGAATTGATCAACAGGATCCAAAATTGTAATTCGAGCCCATCGACTTCACGATATTTCCTTAAAATGAATTTGCTGCCTTCAATGGTGCTAAAAGCGTCCAGCAATCGTTTCTCAGGATAGAACGAATTTTCGTCTCCTACGGAAGCAGCACTGCAGTTTGTAGGAGTTCCAACGAACTCAACGAAGTGTGTTTTACTTCGAGACAATATCAGAACGAGAGAGAGGGAAATGAGATTCAAAGCACAGAAAGTTTGCAATGAAAATGGTGTGAATTTTCTGGTAGAAAGGCTGGCTATTTATAGACTTGTTCGTGGCCATTCGATCAGTCATCACCTTTCAGACAAGCCTAAAAAATCCGAACAGACATGCTGTTCTTAAAAGTTGTGTCTGTTAAATCGGTTAACAGTCGACTGTTTGGTCGGTAAATAGTCGAAACAATCGACTGTTAAAAGAAAATAAAACACCCGAAATAAGCCAAAATTTAAATTTTATATTGTACCCAAGAATTTGATTATTTACAATTTGACCCAAAATTTTAAATAAATTTTGTCCAAAAAGTTAATATAGTGTAACGGTCCACCCGTACCCGCACCGGACTCGGACACGGGCACGTGCTCATGCCGAGCCGACCGGTCGACGGCGCGCGCGTGTGGGTTTATGACCGAACCCAATAGGATATAGGTCTTCCCCCTTCCAAAGACTATTGGTACCTCTTGGGGCCCAAGCTCAATTCCAAACTTCCACCTTATAAACCACACCAAAGTTTACTAACTTTCCTATGTGGGACCCGTACCCGCACCGGACTCGGACACAGGCACGTGCTCGTGCCGAGCCGACCGGTCGGCGGCGCACGCGTGTGAGTTTATGACCGAACCCAATAGGATATAGGTCTTCCCCCTTCCAAAAACTATTGGTACCCCTTGGGGCCCAAACCCAATTCCAAACTTCCACCTTATAAACCACACCAAAATTTCATAACTTTCCTATGTGGGATAAGTGTTTGGAAAATCAAATTCTTCTATAATCCTTAGTTTATGTGGGTTACTTTAACACTTAATATTTCATTCAATTTTAAATGATTTTCGATAAATAAATATATCACGTTAATCATCTCGCGGAGTAGAACGTGAATATGCTAGGTCCCGTATTAATTAAAATATGGGTCCCACTGAAATTTGGACTCAAAGTTGACCCATTTCATAACCATTTTTTCCAACAATTTTCCTTAAATAAATTTGTCTCTCAAAATAATACTTAAATCACTCCATTAGGTGAACGATTCAATATTGTTCTAGTAATTTAACATCTAAATATAAATCAAATCATTTCCAATAAGATACAATTTGATTTTTGAATTGAAATATTAACGAATCGACATGTTTCTGAATCAATAATTTATAAAAAAATAATAATAATAAATATATATATATATATATATATATAAGAAGAAGAAGAAGAAAACATGGATAAACTTCAGAAAGAAAGGGAGAAAGTACTAAATCTAATGTTAAGTAAAGCAAAAAATTATATATATATATATATATATTCTTTATTTTTTGGGTTCACCCCTTGTCGAAGTAGTAGCATACGCAATTGTTAACACGTGAACCACTCTTACAAATGGAAAAATGTCAAAAATTCATTTTAAGCAACATAAATATGTTTCCTTGATAAGTATAAATAAAAATGGTATGATAAATTTATTTTTAGCACTTTTTTAGTGACGATTACCACATGCACATTCCAAATGAAGAAAAATAAGTCTAAACGTTGGGTGAAATGGTCCAGAATCATCCATTACACTTTCGTAAATGAACTTCAAGTAGGCCTCGTCATTATCAAACCATATCAACCCAAATCACAAGCTGAAAAAGTGAAGGAATACAAGAAATCCATCTAGGCAAGACCAATCAAACCAGAAAAATGCACCCTCACCCACCGTAGCCCGCTTTGAACAATGACAGAATTCGAATGCTGCCATTACAATGACCTGACCATAACGAACGATTGTGCATGAGTGGATGAGACTGTCCTCATGGGGATGGGCGAATATACAATAGGGCAATGGGTTCGCAGCCTCCACACTAAATTTAAAATCCAAGATTTTACAATAGATTTTTCAAGATTTTGCACAAGATAAAAAAATAAAAAAATAAAAAATCCTTATAAACCATTAAAATTTACTGAAATTTGTCCTCACAACTCTACTCTCCTGGTTCTGCTCAAACATCCAAATTCACATTTCTGTTCTTAAACGCTCAAACTAATTCTTACTTATTCAGTTATCCGATCATAATGGCAGAGTGTATCAGTCTTGAATTTATTGTGAACAAACTCATTTATCAAAACAAATTCCATGCCCAGTTTATTTCATAAAAGCTTCCCAGGAGCAAGTCAAAAATATGCTTGCAAGGATTTATTTTTCCGTTACATGCCAGACTGCCTAATTACTTCACAATCTACTGTTCAACCAAGAAATGATGCTATTCTTGATTTCTTCTCTTTCAGGTTCAAAGAGCAGATCATGTAAGAACCCCTCATAGAGCTTGATCGTCTTTTCACTCGAAGAAGCCTCACCATAGAGTTTTTCGGAGGCTTTGGGGTCAGTTACAGAATCAGCAGTTCCATGTAGCACAAAAAATGGTACTGTTAACCGGCTCAAATTCTTTTGCAAATAGGAAGTAATTCGAAGAATTTCATAACCAGTTCTTATCCTGATAGATCCTGTGAATACTAGTGGATCCGAATACTTGGCTACAAGTGCCTCTGGATCCCGAGAAACTGCAATACCCTGCTTGTTTGCTGCACTGAACTGAAATCTCGGTAACAAGAAGGAAAATACCGGGGCAAGCACCTACCATTAAGAACAATCGGATTTTGGTAAGTGATATTTCCTTATTTTCATGAGTTATATCTGTTGCTAAGATATTCTCAACAATTGCTAAAAGGTATTGAATTGTTGTTCAAAGAAAGATTCTTACGGCAAAAATTGGATGGGATGGTTCAACTCCTACTGCAGGTGAAGTTAGTATAATGCCAGATACACATTCACTCACCTTAGGATCAAGTACTGCCTAAATATTCAAAAAAGAGAAACAAATTAAGGGACGTGAGAAATTCGTGAAGTAGCACAATAAATTCGACTTGTAATTTGCTTTACCTTCAAGACTATGGCACCGCCGGTCGAGTGTCCAAAGCAAAAACATGGGAGTCCTGGATTTTCAGCTAAAACTTTTCTGAGAAACAATTTCTGTGAATAAAAAACAAAAATCAATAAATAAGAGTGCGTATGTATGACTGTTGTTTGCTGCCAGTGTTTAATCTGCATTATATACATGAATAGTATAACATACCATGTTTGTCACTGCATCGTCAAGCGAATGAACATAGGCATGCAGTCCATCACTTCCACCATGTCCTGGGATAAGGTAAAATGTTGTGGAATTCAAAGAATGTTTTGAATACAAATTCACAGGCCAACAAATTCTTCAATAATATGAATATAAGGTAAATAAATATCAGAGCTAAAATGAGACCTAAAACTTATTCGTGCAAATCTCAATCATTTCATTTGGCCAAAAAAGATCGAATCTATCACTGGCTGCTGAACAGCTCCTCTTACTGACTCTCAAGGTTTGTTAATTTCTCGAAGAACACTGAAAGATTTGGATTTAGAAAGCATGACTCCTCCTTCGTCTACCATTCGTGAACACACTAGGTCTATGTAAAGACTCAAATAACAAGCTTCTCATGGAGTGCTTCACATGTTACTTTTTTGTGCAAAATACATTCAAGCCCTGCACATCCCAAATATACATGCAAAGTTGACTATATGGGTATGTATTCCACAAAATAGAAAACAAAAGGGGGCTTAATTTGTAGATGTTCATTCAATGAATGATGTAAACATCAGGTTTTTTTTAGAGGAAAGGAACGAGCAAAACTAGTACATTATTCTGTCCATATTCACATCAATGTCGAAATGCAGACAGCTTATAACAACCTTCATAGTCTGTCAAAATCCGATGATGAGTATACTGAAAGGGACAAAGATAACGACCCAACAAATATAAAACTCGCAGTGCAATAGACCACTGTCTATGTTTTCATGATAAAATTATCAGTAAAGATTCATATACAGCCAATAAATCCTGCAGACTCCATACCTAACAGATGAGAACTAACTCAAGACATAAAAGGAGTGCCCACCAAGAAGAACAGAACCAATTGTGAGACATATTCACCTAGTTTTAGAACATGCTGCCATGTAGATTTTGAAGTCTACGAGCATAGTCGAGCACCAACTATTATAGCATGTTTAATAAGGACAAACAGACAACATTAAGAAGGAAAGTGAAGTCAAAGTCTTGTCCATCCATTGTATTTGTATGGTCCAGTCCAGTCTAGGATGGTATAACCCCGTGTGCCTTCAGATTTTTACCACACAGTACAATCTACTACGCATTTTTCAGGTTATTTACTGGAAAGACAATAATTATTAACTTACCAATCCAATCCATTGCATAAACCTTGATGCCATATCCATTAAGTTGCTTAGCAAAATCACTGTATCTTCCACTATTGGGGAAAAAATACATATGTTAAGCAGGAAAAAGAACTGAAAATTGCTCCAGAATCTGAAATAAATGTGCATTTTTGCATACCTATGTTCATTCAGGCCATGCATAAGAACAAGAAGTCCCCTACACATGATAACAAATATAATCAATGTTTCATCTAACAATAAAAGTTGGAAAAAGAAGTAAAGATATCAAACAGAAAATCTATGCAGCTAGAGCAAAGAGGTAGCACTCAATAATTGTTGAACCACTTGACCTAAAAACTTGACATGTTAGACATGATCAAATGCATATCATGTCTTACTTTATCCATTTCACTAAATATGCTGGATCTCACAGAGCCTGCTAATGTACTACAACATGATTCGAATTTGATTATCCAAAAGAATCTCTTCAAGTGAACTAGCCTATCTTCTGTATATGGCTTATTCGACGATTGGAACAAAGACATTTGATTGTGAATTATAATGTGGTAGACATATATCTACATATACCAATCAATAGTTCAAGTCACACGCTCCCATAATTGACGTAGCGGAAGCTTCTAGGAAAGATGAACAAATCTCACAAAGATAAAAAAGAACTCACGAAAATTTTATTTCTTTCAATCAATGCAGCCTCAAAAGACTTACAATGCTTTATATAGTGAAAACCCTAGGAAAATTCGGAAAAAAATAAATAATGATAGAAAAAGATTTTTTTTTTCAAAAGTGAAAAAAATCAAGATAATGACTAAAATTGAAAGTCCTCAACAAACGAAATTCAAATCCGAATTTATTTGATTAAGACATAACCAAAACATAAATTATCAAAAAAGGAAAAAATACATAAACAAATGCTTAAACAAATGAATTTGCCCGAAATTGGCAATACATTAGGGCAAATCCCTGAGTCTTGTTCATTGACTCATTTCAATCAAATTTGACTAAAAATTCGTCAAAAACAAACACCCTAAATATCGAGAAGTCGCCTATTTGGCTATTTCTGCTTGCGTCGATCCCACAATGCCATAAAGTCTAATTCCTTCTACACTACATCAATAATCCATTTATTTTTGGGATCCTTTATCCAAAAGGAAGAAATGAATATAGAATTAGTCTGATTCCCAAAATACTTTTTCTCGACATTCCTCAAGTGGCAATACCCAACTAACCCAAAATGTATAAGTAGGCCCCCAAGCTTTTATATAGTTGATGGTTCTTTAACGTTGCACTTGTCTTAACTCTCATCTCAAGTGAGCGGATTTCATACATTTCACATTTAAAAGTCACATGAAACATAGTATACTATTTTTAGGTGAAAATATCGTTTTGTCCTCACTTTTAATTAAAGTATTGTAGCTGCCATCTCCATCCTATACGTCGATCAGAACTTTCATCACCCCGCCTTTATTTCTTGGCAATATGCTCCTCAACTTTTGGAGAATAGAACAAATGTTCCCGTTTTAAAGATTGAGAACCAACTTGCAATTCAGTAATATCTTTACCTTCTCCCATGGCCCATACCTGCCAGCAGGTTTAAAAACGAAAGTTTCACACACTTACAAAAAGGCACATAGGTTTTTGCACCTCTTGGGATGCGGTCCAATTCTTAGGTGCAAAAGCACTATTTTCTCTACTTACTCTTGTCTGAAAATATTCCCTATACTGTTCTGAATATGCACATAATTTTTATCAGTAACATCAAACATGTGGTATGTGGACAAAACATACTCATCTATGTTCTGTACTAGATGATTGAGTGTCACTTTCAGAATATTAAGCATTCGATGGAAGCAAGAAGAATTTAACAGCAGTAATACGCTGTAGTAGATTCAATGAAATTGTGGCGTCATTGTAAAGATCATCAATAACAGTGGAACCGTTTGACATCCTATTGATTAAAGTTTAGAAAGTGATTCTTTTAGCTTAAAATAATTTTGATGTTATGATACTTTTCTTTCTAGGCTAAAGCTATACGATATTCAAGCTTATGAAATGCCTTTCAGCTAACTATTTCGTGTTTGATTAACTTTATTTTTCAGGGAAAATGTCATTTTTTTTATTCAAATTCCTACTTTTGGGATGTTTGATCGACTTTTTTTCCTTGAAAACTATTTTTTAAAGTTGGTCATGTGATCATTATTTTCCTAAAAAATATATTTTCTTTACGGAGATAAGTTTTTATTTTTCTAGGCAACTCACCCTCTCTCTCATCTACCTCCTCTATCTCATGTATCCGCCAATAAAAGATAGACAAATATAACCTTTTCTAGATTGAAAATTCAACCAATAAAACACATTTAATTAATAATTTTCACAAATTGCCTGAAACCTATTTTCTTTCCATATAAGTTCCATACTTCTAATCAAATACACCCTAAAGCTCTTCTGAATAGCTCTTTTAAAGTATGTTTGATTGGCTTAATTTTTCATGAAAAATATCATTTTTTCAGATAATTCACTTTCTCATTCTGTTTCATCTGCTCACCAATACATCAATAAAAAATATACAAGTATAATATTTTCAAGATTGAAAATTAAATCAATCAAACATATTTTTTTAATAATTTCCAAATATATCAATGCAAATTCCATGCTTGCAATCATACGTACTCTTAGATAATAGTTTGAAAAGAATTAAAGTTGTTCTCTCGTGAAGCTCTTTTACAATGAGCAATAGCATAATCGGGCCTGTATCTGATGCTGCTTAAAAATTACTATTTTAATGAAATTCTTTGGTGCAATAGTTAAGAATTGTAATAACGAATTACCTGACTTTAACCTTGGCTGGAATCCAAGACTGCGTGAACATGGTGTCGCCTCTCGGTGTAACAAACAATGAAAACTCCCTCACCGTTTCATCACCGTCATTATCCTCCACTACCCTCTTAATCGCCAACGCTCTTCTCGCCGCCACCTCCTTATCCACTGCGGCGCCGCTCTTCCTCGGCACTCTCACCACCACTCCTCCTCCCTGTGATGAGGATTTCTCCTCCTTCGATCCACCACTGCCACCGCCTTTTTCGACAGACGTTATATAAAACCTCCCGCGAAACGGAAACAGCAGAAGCAATACGAAAGCTTGGATTATCAGCCATAGGCTCCTCAAAGCACTTATGGATAACAATGCATTGATTCTTCCACTTGCACCTGGCAAATACAAGATTTAAATGAATACCCATCTTTAAAAACTTGAGGTTTTAAGCGAGACCGTTGATGGCACCTGAGGTCAGCATCAAGGTTGTTGAAGAATCGCTTGCCTTGTTCACCATTGCGGTTTTTCTTTTTGAAGATTCAAATTCCACCAACTTTATCAATTTGGATAATAATTTTATTTTTATATACACAGTACTATTAATTTTTTATCTGGGTTTTGTAATTTGATTTTGCAAACCCAAGAAAATCATAAACAGAAAAGAAGAAGAAGAAGAAGAATAAGAAAATGCAGCAACTTCTTCGTTATTCCTTTTTCCTTGTGGTTAAATTCGCAGGTGCTTCAACCTCAAAAAGTAGGAAAATAAAACGACGACGAAAATGGAGTATCCTAAAAATAGTATAAAATCACAGGGAAAGCAAAAGGTTGGCCAAAAAAATTACTTTTTCTAATTCAAAAAAGTAATTCAATTATCATATTACGTTAATGGGTGAAAAATGATTTTGAATGAAATTCTTTCTTCTATCTCGTTCTCTACGAACCTATAAATACATGTCAAGGTAATGCGAGACGTTGGGCTCACGAGGAGTAGCCGTTAGATGAACGGTTAATATTCTGCCACGTGTGGCTATGCGGCGGCTTGAGTTTTGCTTTTTTTTAAAAAAATTGTTTTCTAGAATAAGTCAAAGAATGGGTCCTTCTAGGACACGTGTCTTCCCATATGGGTGGATTCGCTGGATTACGTTATAACCGAGGGAGTACTATAATGGACACCTTTAAGATTAGGATAATTATTTTTTTGACAGAGAAACACATGTCAGCTAATTATAGGGTTGGTGAAAATTAATAAATTTTCAGTCTCGTTTGGATCGTGGGGGAATACCATAGTTTTGTTTTGTATCTAGGACAGTTAGGGGAATGGCGTGTTCATCGTAGTCTAGGATAGTCCTGCTGGTCGGGCACAACCCGACAAGGTCGATCCGAGAATTTGGAAACTCTAGGCGATTAATTTTTTTGAGTCCCTCAAACATAATTTTTTTTTTAATAATCATAACACTATTAAAATATTTAACCAAATAACATTTCTATATTAAATCGAAGATTCCATGCAATTCAAGAAATAGAGTAGCAAAATAAAACTCTCCTCACAACTCGAAAGATTAGACTAGTATAGTATTTAGCATTCTCACATTTTGAGGCAAAAGGAATAGCTATACACGTTTGAGTTATTAAATGTTCATTGAGGAGTTAAATATATGAATGCAAACGCAAAATTCATATATTAAATTAAATATTTTTTACTAACATAAAGAATATATAATAATTTTTATCACTTCTTATTTTGTGTACTGTGAAGCAATATAATAGGTGCAATTTTGTGGCTGAAAGGTAATTGTCCTTGTTTTCATTTTCCTTTGTCATAGTAGTATATTTCTTAATTAACAAAAATGCAAAATTAATATAATTTAATGATGCCAGATTTGCTTTCCTTATGATAAGGTCAAATTTGTTTTGAAAAAGTTTCTATATTAGTATTAAGTTAAGAGTGTAATACAGAATTACTTCTGATTTAAATCTTCTATTGGGCTTAGCCTTTGTTTGGAAGACTTTATTTAGAAGGGTCATAGAAAAATCTAAAATTAGAGGTAGCTTTTAGAGTTGGAGTTTTTTCTTTTTTCTTTTTCAGGCCCTCAAAATTATGAGGCCCAAGACAATGGCCTAGTTTGCCTTAGGTCAGGACCGACCCCTGCAACCCGACTTTGTAGTCATACGCTTGATCGATCGAACTCATTTGATGATATATCCTTTATCATTTCACATTGTAACAATGATATTCATAATAATAATATCATTTTGAACAATTTGTATAAATAATTCTATTTGTAGTCACTAACTTCCCAATCGCCCTACGTGATATACATGTGGCGATTAGTAATTTGATATATGAGGCAAGAGGAAAACTATCACAATAATATATCAAATCACAAATCGCTATCTATGATATCACATAAGACAACTATCACAATGGACAACTGTTAATAGCATTACTCAATTTCTGTTGTGTGTGCAAAGTTCCCTAAAAAAGGAGATACTATAGAAAATCATATACTCAGGTATTTAGAAATAGTTTGGCATAGGTCACATCGACAAGACCATATTTTTGAACTCGGACATAATCTCTATGTACATATCAATTAGTGCACGTCACATAGCATTTCCCCGCGATATTGCACTCGATCATCCTTCCTTGCATATAAATGTTACTGAAATCTCCCCACAAATTTCGCCGTGCTCATAAAATTGTCAATTGTGCTTAATTCGCGATAAAATGGTACCTAGAGTCAAAATATAGCTCTCAACATCTCATGGAAAGAATCGAATGTCATGGCCTCCTAAACGAGTCTCCTCAGACTATGTTAGAAGAATAAATAGTTCCTTTGGGAGTGATAACAATCTTTAGTTGACCAAACAACGCTTCTATGTGTACGAATAATGCTAGCTACCTCTTTTTGTATAATCGTTGCATATCTTGATTTATATTATCATATGACATCACGTAGGATAGGAATTGATGGCTTTATCCTATGGACAACCTCTTGGGCTAATGCCACTTGTGGACTATGATGACACTTCTGGGCGGGATTGGTTGGTCCTAAATGAGTCACCACTTCTTTCACATGTGTCATTTCCTCTCCTACGTCCTCTTGAATACTGCTTTCTTCGTTGTCAATCCCCTGGAGAACGATTTTTAATTTCTTTTCCATCTGAAACCTCTGCATGACTCGCTTAAGGATATATGCATAAGTAAGAGATGTCGAATAAACCTGGTCAAACCTTAGTTTACTTATTTGTGCAATTGAGTTTGGATCACCAATCGATTTTTAAGAATCAGAGTGAGATTATTTTGTATCATCTCATAAGCTTTAGGCAAGTGGATTTACATAAGCTTGTCTTCTTTGTTGGGCCATGCATCAACTCGACCAATATTTACCTCGACTACGCGATAGTTTTGTCATAGTCGAGGAGGTCTTAGAGCCCCCTAACTTGGCAGTAGAGTGTTCCCTCTATCCATTCGAGGATGCCTCAGTTTGTGAATCATCCGACCTTATCATCTCCTAATTGCGGCTCTCTGTTTGATTAAATGCACCAATTCATCATATGTTTTGGAGGCTCAATTACGTACTTGTATCTAGTAAGAAGTTATCACGTCCAAATCAGACCTTGAAACCTGAAAAACTGTATCATGTGGAAGGCTTTCCATATCAACCATTTCTTAGTTAAAGCGGTTGATAGTGGACAAAGATCAGACGATATTACTATTTGAGTCGCAAAGATAAACGATTTGCAGAAAGTAAAAGTGTAGAAAATTAAAGAATCAACACAAGGAATTATTTCAGCTTAAACCCCAAAGGTTCGACGATTACTTCCAACGACTACATTCCCCATTGAGCATCCAATAATATGGATAACGCTCGATTGCACTAGATCGCCCAAATTGGTAACAAAAATTAAAAATGTTTTAACCCAATACAAAGAGATAAAGAAACAAAACACTTATCTCTCAAAGAAACTCCAAAAAATATCGAAGAATCACCAAGAAACTTCACCGAACTCAGATAAATATTCGACTCCAACAGAACCTTTGTTCTCACAAATATTCACTCAGAATGTCACACATTAGGAATCAAATCCCACAGATTACAAATCTCAAATCAGAAATTTGAGAAACAATAGAAGAGAAAACCCTAATGAAATGAGAGATATTTCTCTCTAAACCAAGAATCTTGATACCAGATGAAAAGCCAAAAAATCGTCCAAACTAGGGGATTCAACGAGCCAAGTTGGAATTTTCAGCTCGGGCTCTTTTAAGGAGAGCTTTTTTTAGCCCGAGCCAGGCTCGACTAAAAAATTAAGGTTCGACTCAAACTTTCGGCTTAGACCTTATCGAGCCGGCTCGATTTTTTGGAGTTTTTTTCTTCCTCTCATTTTAGCTGCATGTTGGCAGCAGATCAGTTGCCAATAGACAACTTTATATGCTACCTAAAGCTGCTATCGGTGAAGGCAGTTTAGCTACTTGTTTGCAAGCTTTTAGCTCTCAAACAGGCAACACATTTTTTCTTTCTTCTTCTTGTTCTTTTTTTTTTTTTTACAGTCCGAGTTGGACCGGCTTTGAGTCAACTCCTTGAAATGGGGCTCGGCTCGAGCCTTGGCTCAGTGCCTCCGAGCCTTAAGTCGGGCTGGCTCGATCTTTTTTCGGGTTGAGCCATAGGCAGTCTGAGCCAGCGAGCTCGATTGCCATCCATAATCCAAATGCAGTGAAAGGTCACCAGATATAGAAGCTTCCAGTATCATAGACCAACGGCCATGTGTCAATCATCCAAGTGCGACGATCACTTAAAAAATCATATTGCTCAAAATAATCGAGGGTTCGAGTCCAACAGATAGTTTTGCAAAAGCTCATCTAGACTCTGTCTCATATCATAGATTCTCCTTGTTGGGTTGAGCTAAGCATTCCTACAGTTAAACATATGAATAAATTGACTTTTCAGGTATGTCAACTATAGATATTGCTGGATGCAAGCTTAATATACTACTTTTTAGCTTCCCTGAGAGTGCAATATAGAAGTCTCGACATTTATCTGTCGTGCTTGTTCCTAATAAATTTGTGTGGGTGTTATATTCTCTAACGTGGTTGATAGGATTGCCTCTCCCACAAATTTCTACATTTTTTTCATTGGAAATTTGCTAGGGCCTTCAAATGTCTTGATCACCTCGTAGAAAGTGATGTACTCATCATTGTCGTCAAATTTCTCCAATCGAAGTTGATGCTTATTACTCGTTCTACAGGAGCACAGAGAGAAACTTGGTCCTCATACTTGCAGAACTAGTTGGCTTCTTTCTACTCAGTTCTCCTACCAAATCCTCTTGGGTCTTGTCTTGAGCTCAGGGGTGGAGCCAAGAATATTTTTCAGTGTGAGCATAATAATGCCGAACTTTGAGTTTTTGACTATGAATTTAATAAAGATAAAAATATAAAACAATACTACCGCAAACTAAAAATGATATAGCATTGTTCTATGAAAAAAGGTCATCAAGAAAGATCAATATAAGCTAATTACCTTGCTATTGGCAACAGCATGCTTATCGAGAACTGAAGCCTAGGATTTCTGGATTTGTATATGAAACATTCTTTAATATCACATCTTTCCTCTTTCCCGAGGAAACCACCAACCATCACTGTAATATTGATTCCATTGCATGCTTCAACAACATTAGTTGTTGCAACACCACCTGATTTAAATAGCATAGTAGATAGATACATGTTATCCACTTTTTAAGTTTTAACCCATATCTCATCTGGCATACTGTTGACACGCTAAAAGTGCAGCCCAATTCGAATAGCCCAAAGAATGAAGTCCAACTGGGCAATTCAGGATGAAGGCCCAAATAGGGTTATTAATGAATGCAGTGGAAGCCCATGAACACGGTAACACCAT